TGTTCAAAATTTTTTTTAAATTCTCGTAAAAATTTCAATTATTTTTAGAAAGAATTAAATTTTTTTTCTTAAAATTTGTCAAAAAAATTTAATTATTTAAAAATTTGTTGATAAAATTCTTTATGAGAATTCAATTTTAAGAAACATGACATTATTAAATAAATTCCTTTTTTTGTATTTAAATAAATAAATTTTCGTAGAATTTTTTAATAAAAATTGATTTGAAAATGAATGTTAGTTTTAGATAGTAATTGAATATGAAAATAATTTTTAAGAAGTTATAGTAACAATATTCTTATAATATAAATATAATTATTTTAAGAACACTCGGTCCTTTTTAAATATTATAAAACATGAAGAAATCGAATAATCGTTATTAATTATGAATATAAATTCATCATTTCATTTAAAAAAGACATTTTATAACTCCTACTAAAGTTTTTATAAACCTCTGTTGGTTAATGATTCACGAGAATACATTTTGAACCATTTTTTAAATTTAATAAAATCCCAGTAATTATTATTGCATTATTTTGAAAAAGAAAATTATAGAAATCAGGATTACACTGGATAATTAATATAATTCATTGTGCTCAATAATCAAGTGTATTTATTTTTGAACATGTCTGACACAACGTTTCTGTGGCACGAACATTGGTACCTTCTTTAGGTGCAAATCTATTACAAATCTAATTTTTAACGAAAATAAAATTTGAAAAAAAAAATTTTTAAATTAATTTTTTGTCATTAGGTCCCAGATAGCCCGAAAGGTTGCAACAATCTTTCATTTCAAGAGTACTAGCAAATTTAATGGCAAGCTTGTTGCAATGTTGCGCTGTCAGCATCCCAATGGTCGCGAGCTTGTTGCGAACTTGTTTTGGGACGACCAACAAAACTCAAAACAGTTTTGTGTGTCAGTATTTACGAAACATGGAACTGTAAGTTGGTGGAGGAATAGGAGGAAATTAGAATTTACGAGTGAGCATTGGTGTTAGTGGGAATAAAGTTAAAATTCATAGTTGAAAACAAAACGTAAACTCAGTTGCATATGAGAGGGGGAGGGAGCGAAAGACGCTTAAATTCTGAGCGCTCTTAGCGTCAGGATCCCAAACGACGTAGGAGTACAGAGGGCAACAGAGGGCACGGGGAATGACGAAAGGGGTCTTTTGAGAAGTAAAAGGGATCAACATAAGGGCTATAACGGCATTGGATGAAGAGGACTTTCACTTAGGAGAGCTACCCGAGTCTTGGTCTACTCAACTTATCACGCGTGACATCTATATAGAAATACGTTTTCACAGATTAAACACAGTGCGAAACTTGATATAATAGAATAAAGCACAAACAGAGTTAATTTAATTTACAACGAAAGGTGTGAATCTTTAATTGCTAGCATTTCGAAATTGATTTTATTCTTGACAGGATCTTGTCAGTCTTTACTTCATTCTTTGAAGTACAGACTTTTTTTACTACTCTTTGTATTCTCCTTCATCTTGATATTAATTTTCTCCTTTCCGAATATTATTCTAGCTTAATTATTGTTCCAATGTCGAAATAGGAAATACTCTTAAATACTTGACTTTAAATAATTTTGTACTTAAATACATTTCCCGAGTTAAATATTTCTCTTGATATAGGGTTAATAAAGTAACTCTCCGTCTCCACTTGCTACGAATATCAAAGCGATTTTAAACCCCTTACCTAGCATCATGCCAACAAAATATATTCTATGTAATCTTCAATGTTCAAACGAAACTTAAGAGGATGCAAAATGTGCGTAAATGAAAAGCCTGTAGGCGAAGAATATGAAGAAGGGTTTCCGTGAAAATTATAATTAAAGACTAGTTGTAAAAACATAATATCAACTCTCAAATCCTAAAATAAATGACAAATCTATAAATGCGTTTTTTCACCTCATAAATTATGAAACTACCACAAAATCTAATACAAAACCTTCCAAAAATTTTTCTATTACTGACAAGAATACATTTTTTTTAATTAATTATGTATTTCAAAAGTTTTAACGCAATTATCTTGATAAATAAAATTCTTCAAAGAAATTTAATTATTTTTTTGGAATTTTAATAACATTTTTTGAAAAATTCAATTATTTTCTGCAATTTTAATAAAATTCTTTGCAAAATTCAATTATTTTCATAAATAACAATATTCATCACAAGAATTTAATTATTTTCAAAAATAATAAAATTCTAGGAAGAAATTCAATTATTTAAAAAAATTTTAAAGAATATCTCATCAAGAATTCAATTTTTTTTACAAATAGCAAAATTATTCGCCTAAAATTCAATTATTTTCAAAAATTTAAATAAAATTCTTTGTATTTCAATTATTATCCAAAGTTTTTCGCAAATTGATAATTTTCAATATTCACTATTTTCATAAAATTTAACAAAAGATTTAATTATTGGAAACATTTTTTGATACAATTTTACGAAAATATTTCATTATTTTCATAAATAATAAAATTTCATTTAAGAATTCAATTATTTTCATCGCAGAATTTCAAGTATTTTTAATACAATTTTAAATAAATTCCTCGAAAAATGCAATTATTCTTAAAAATTTTATTAAAACTTGATGAAAAAATTGAATTTTAGGAAACATTCAATTATTCGAGAAAATAATAAAATTCGTTGCAATAATTCGAGTATTTTCATAAATAACTTTTAATTCGTCGCAGAAAACCAATTATTTTCAAAAATTTCTAATTAATTATGCAAAAGAATTCAATTATCTTGATAAATAACAAAATATTCTTTACAGAAATTCAATTATTTTTGGGAATTTAAATTAAATTCTTTTCGAAAATTCAATTATTTTCATAAATAAATCAAAATTCATTACAAGAATTCAATTCTTTTGAAAAGTAGTAAAATACTTTGGAGAAATTAAATTATTTTCAATATTTTTTAAAAATTCTTTTCAAGAATTAAATTATTTTTATAAATAGATAGAGAAATTCTTCTCAAGAATTAAATTTTTTTATAAATAGATAGAGAAATTCTTTTCAAGAATTAAATTATTTTCTAAAATTTTAATAAAATTCTTGTCAAGATTTCAATTATTTATATAAAATTAAATAAATTTTTCCCCATGAATTCAATTATTTTCATAAATTATTATTTATATTCTTCTCAGGAATTCAATTTTTTTCAAAAAATTTAATAAAATTCTTCAAAAAGTAATAAAAATTTCACAGAAATTTAATAATTCATAAATAATTAAATTTTTACAGGAATTCAATTATTTTCATAAAAATAAAATTATTTTTAGGAATTCAATTATTTTTATAAATAATAAAACTCATGGGAGAAATTTTATTATTTTTAATACAATTTTATTTAAAATGGGAAATGAAGTCTGATTAAAGTTTTTGTTTCTACTTAATTTAGAAAAATATTAATAATAGAATATAACGTCTAACCAAAGCATGCCTTTACTACTTATTTTTGAAAAATACGAAAAATAGTATATGACACGTCTGACTAAAATTTATTTTTTCTACTTGATTTAGAAAAATTCGAAAAATATGAAATTATGTTTGACGAAAACTTGTTTATTCTACTTATTTTGGAAAAATAGGATATAACGTCTGACTATAATTTATTTTTTTTACTTAATTTAGAAAAATATAAAATTATGTCCGACTAAAACTTGTTTTTCTACCTATTTTGGAAAAATAGGAAAAATAGGAAATTCAGTCTGACTATAGTTTATTTTTACTACTTTAGTTAGAAAAATATGAAATTATGTCTGACTAAAATTGTTTTTTCTACTTAATTCAGAAAAATACGAAAAATATGAAATTATGTCTGACTAAATTTGTTTTTTCTACTTAATTTAGAAAAATTGGTTATGATTTTTTTGAAAATTATAAAAAGTAATTGATTTAAAGAAAAATGTTAGTTAAAAATTGTAGAAAATAATAAATGAATTGAAATGATGGAAATAATTTTGAAGGAGTAGCAGTAATAATATTCTTAAAATATAACAATTAAAGTAATTAAAGAATGAAAAAAGTCAAAATTCTGTCTGGAAATTAGGGAAAAGTCAGGGAAGGGAAAGTTAAATTGTTGTGTCAATCTTGAATCATTTTATAACAATCCAAAAAGTGTAAATAGAAGCAGAGTAAATATAAAAAGGTACAGGGGAAAATATAATTTCTTTTAAAGCGAAGATTTGGCAAAACGTAAGTCGAACTAATTTCATACAATCTAATATCTTGTAGCGAAATTTGCAAACCTGGATACAAACTATGGTCTGGATGGATTCACTTCTACAGTCGACGAGATGAAAGTCGGGAAAGTGAATGAGAAAGGGTAATTTGGCCTGCAATATTCTCAGGAGTAACCGTGAAAGATAGGGGTCGAGTTAATTTGCGCTCGTCTGTGCCAAAAGAATTGGGAGCGAAATTATGAAATGTAAAATGACCGAAGGAAGCTCTGCAAAAGTAGTGAATAATTTTACTAAAAGCTTCTCATGTCTTCGTTTCTCAGAAGTTTATGTATTCATTTTTTAAGTACATAAAATCACAGATATCCCCCCGGACTTTTTTTCCAGGAATCCCTTGCTATAGTTTATCTAGCAATAACTGCTAAAGCTATAAATGAAAAAAAATTGTAATCTTTTACATAAATTAAAATAAAATTAAAATAAAATAAAATTATCAAGATCTACAATATGAACTATCGTTTCGAGTTTAAAAAACTTGTCAGTTAATTTTTCTCTATTTGAAAATTGAAATAAAAACACATTTTTTTTTAAATTTTAAGCATATGAACTTTTAAAGTTCTGGCATCTATTCAGTGCTTATTTTTATTTTGCACGTAAAAAAAATAATTGTCAGTTAAAAACAACTCGAGACATCAACTACTCGTAAGAGAATTTTTTTGCCAGATATATAAAATGACTAGCTTTCGTAGTCAGTTTTGCAGGTCAGAAGTTGAAACAATTACCCTAGTTTGTCGGATCCACGGTGTAACGTGACGTTACAAATTCTCCCGCGTCTGCCGTGAATGAGGCGATTGAACCCGGAAACGGCCGAAGGGCCTCGAGGGTGTCAATCGCCGAATTCGCGGACAGACGCGACACTTGTTGTTAGACCACGACACTTATCTCGTCATTTCCCTCAATTATATATCTCGCTCGTGATTCCGTGTGTGATTTTCCTTCGCTGTAAGTTCGACTGCCGTCCAGTGTTTTGGATTATCGACATTCGTAAGTTCAATAAATATTTTTAATAATATTAACTCTATTTATTTACAATTCTCCCTTCCTTCACACCTTTTCCTTCACAACATAATTGGAGATCCGGGCAACCAATTATAAATTGGCGCCCAACGAAAAAACCCATCTTTCCATTCCTTTTTCTGAAAGAAAATCCTTCAGAAATACCTTTTTTCAACATCTTTGTTTTGTTGAAAATTCCCAAAGTAATTTTTTCATAATTTTGTTTATGAAAAACCCCAGAAAATTCATTTATTTTTTCATCATTTTTTAATTGTTGAAAATTCCACCTGTCACCTCATGGCCACCTAACCCCCAAATCAAATCTTTTTTCCTGTTTCCCATATTTATTTAAACATTTTTCTATTTTGTGCATGAAGATTATTGATATTTATTATTGTTATATTGTATATTTTGACAAATATGACAAATTTTTCATGTGACTGACACAGACAACGACGAAAATTGTGTGAAAATAAGTGCGCGAAAAAGCCGGTAAAAAATTAATCGTGAAAATTCTTTAAAATCGTGACTAAATTCGTGAAAATCAACGAAAATTAGTGAAAATTAATGAAAATTACGGAATATAAAATCGAAAATTAAAAAGAAAAAGTGAATTTATCGATTATTTTTGGAAATATTTCGCAATAGATAGACGCCGGTAGCATTATTTTCATTGTCAAGGTCGTGTATAGTGTAGCGCAAGTAACAACAGAAAAAACACAAACACGACATAGTCGCGAATAAATTGAAAAATAATTTCGTCAAAATTCAGAAATAGAATTTGTATACGCGGTGTCAAATTAAATTTAATCGAAAATTTAGAAAATAAAACTTTGTGAAAAATCGATGCGTATACCGGGTGACTCAAAAATTTAATATCGAGAAAAACTTAGAATATAAAGACACAGTGACCAACTTATACCGGGTGACACATTTGAACAGTCGTTTAATAGGAAGTAGATCCAAATAGTGATAACAATTAATAAATAAATTTAATTCCGGATAATAAATGAAAATTAATTGTTGAAAATACGTGGAAAAATTTTCTTTTATTTTTTTTTCTTTCGGTTTTCGATATTAACCAGTTAGAAAGATAATAAAAATTTTTTTTTTGCGACTTATACCGGGTGTGTCAAAAGTGTCAATTTATTTTTTTTTCTTTTTCTTTTTCTTTTCGAATTTTTCGAAATAGAACGTGTAATTAATTTTTGTTTTCGGAAAAACACATAGATAGAAAATAAATTTCAGAAAAATTGTTGAAAAATAGTTCGAACATTTGTGATTGAAGTCAAAGAGCAATAGAAACTTTTTTCTCACATAGAATCCATAACGATGGATATAAATTAGCGGAAAATTTTTTCTTTTTTTGCTTTTTGGCGTGAATTGAAATTTGTAGAATAGATTAAATAACGATTTGAATTTAACTCTAACTTTTCGATAATTAATCACAAATGACTTCGAGACGTATTTTGAGATCAACAACGAGAAAAATGCGGGAAGACAAGGAAACAGAAAATTTTGCGGACAGCGAAACGGAAACAGCGAGCGAAACTGACTCCCCCCCCAAACAAAATACTCCCGGCCAAAAGGATGCGCAAAACAAGTCGCATATTTTGGAAGCCACTATCCAGAGGCAAGAAGCAATGCTTCGTGCCTTCATGGAAATCACACCTCCAGAAAAATTGAAATTATTAAATTTCGATTCATCGTTGCCACTCCCCCCTAAATCACAACAAGGCACAGCGAACGCATCTCTGCCCTTGTCCAAGCAGAGTGACCGAGAAAATGCACCCAGTGCAAATTCAATATTGCAGCAGTATTATAAAACGGTAAAGAAAACTGTTGGCAATTCGGAAAAATTAACGGAAAATTTTTCGGAAAAATCAAAAGACGGAACTTTTGATATTAATTCGTTTATAGGGACAAACAGCCAAATGATTAAAGATCGAAACGAATTAACAGCATACGACGAAATGCTTAGAACAGAAAGGGAAAAATTGCGTGAAAAAGAAAAGCGATTAGAAATCGAACATAGGAAAATTGTGCAGGAAAAATACAAACCGTCAGCACATAGTTCGATAAACAAAAATAATCATAATAACAGTGATTCGGAAGATAGTTTTCGAACAAAATTAGATAATTATTTCGAGTCAGACAAACGCAAAATGAGGGAAAAAAGACAAAATGTCCAATTTAAAAATAAAAGTAAAAATCAAGAATTTAACTACGAATGGCCGAACGATAGTGAAATAGGAATCGTAGACGAACCCAAAAGTTTAGGAACTATTTCGAAAGAGAAAAACATTAATTTTCATCGGGAATTAAAAGAAAAATCAGCAGAGCTAGATCAATTCAAAAATGAAATATCGATACGCGATAAGGAATTAGATCAACTTAGATTAGAATTAGACCGAATGAAAATTACGATGGAAAATGTAATAAAAAATAAAAATCCAAATTTTGAAGAAAATAGCACGGAAAATTCGGAAATTGAAAATCCAAATGCCCAAGTAGACAACAATCGACATTTTGGAAACTTCAATAATCATTTTCCTTTTGGCATGTTACAAACACCTTTTCAAATCATGTCAAATTGGCCAGTTAAATTTCATAATAATAAAACGGACAACCCAGTTCAATTTTTAGAAGAATTATTTAGATTTATGCGAGGTTACGAAATCCCGGAAAATCGTGTGTTAGAAAATATCGACGCAGTGTTAGCGGACGAAGCCCTGGAATGGTGTAGAACGGTTCGACACAATTGGTTTTCTTTACAAGATTTTCGTGAAGAATTCGAAAGAACATTTCTGGACGAAAAGTTTTACGAAGAAATCAACACGAAAATAAAATATTGCAATCAGAAAGAGGGAGAAGAAATTCAAACTTTTCTGATTGGGATAAGAAAACTTTTTGCAAGAATTTACCCGCGAAAAGGTCTACAGTGGGAATTACGTCGTGCTTATGAAAACATGCGAATAGAATATAAAATGTACATTCAAAGAAACGATTTTAAAAATTTCGAGGAATTAGAAAGTTTAGGTAAAGAATTCGAAATTGAAAGAAATAAATCGAAAATTCGCGGACAAACGTTAACAATCACAACAGACAAAAAAGAAAACTCGACTAGTGATAAACCGAAACAAAACTCAAATCAGGGAAATTCTAGAGGATTTGGTGGAAGTTCGAAATTCCATTCAAAGTCTTCTGGAAACTATCATAGAAAATGGTCAAATGGCCAACCGAAAGTAACTTTTCCACCGGACACAACTACAAACGGTAGTAACGGTCAGAAAATGTTGGAAAATTCTTCTGAAAACCCAAATCCAGAAAATAGTCTTCAAGTAATAATACCAAACCATTCTTCTGCAGGGAATGGAATTAACAATGCCAAGACGAATCCAAACGGAAAAAATAACCAGAAAAATTTTTCTAATTCACCAAAAAAATGTTACGGATGCGGAAAAGTAGGTCATTTTCGTAGAGATTGTAGGTCGGAAAATCAGGGAAACGAGTAGAGGGGGTACTGAAAAATCCAGTATCCCCAAGAAATGTCGAAATACCAGAAAATTGTGATACGTTAATTAAAGACTTAAGATTCTTTACGAATATCAAATACAAAGAAGTAACTTTTAAAACTTTAATCGATACAGGTGCTACTAGTTCATTTTTCGGTCATAAAAATTGGATATACTTACAAATGTATGGTATTAAATTAGAACCGGTGAAGAATAAACTTGTAACAGCAGCAAACGGTGAAAGTTTACAGATAATAGGTAAAGTTACAATACCTGTAGAAATTGGTAATGTTTCGAAAAATCTAACGTTTAGAATAGTTCCAGCATTAAAAGGTTACGGAATTTTAGGAATAGATATGTTACGCGAACTAGGAATGAAATTAGATTTCGAAACGGACACATGGTCACTGAAAGATTTACCTAACGTACTTTACAAAATCGGGAATAAATCAGATAACGAAATAGAAAAAATGAACAAAATCGAAACCAAAATACGTGAAGTAGGATCGCAAACAGGATGGTCCAGTTCACAACGAGAAAATCGGAAAAATTTCGCGCAAAAATCCCAAGAAAATAGGTCAAAATCAGGAAAAAATTTTGGACCAAAATTCGAGAATAAAAAAGAAAATTCAGGAAAATTCGAGAAAAAATTCGAATTCGGAAAATCGGAAAATATAGATACGAAAAATAGTAGGAAAAATACGAAAATTTTTCCAAGGGTCGACCCGAGAAATGATAGAAAAATTCCAGAAATTATACCAAGACAATCCTTACAACAGTCGAAAATTCCTACCCAAAACCCAATCCCAAAACCCCGGAAAATTCCTCCAAGGTTAATGGACATTCCCTTATCAAACAGATTTGATAACTTAGAATTGGACTCTAGTCTTGACGAGACAGACGAACCATATCTCTTTCCAATCGACAACCCACGTAAAAAACAGTGGTATAAAAAAGCGGAATTGAATAGGAAAATTAGCGAACGCGAAAAATGTTCGGAAAATTGGCGAAAACGAGAAAATTCGCGAAAAGTAGAAAAAGAAAATGAATCGGAAAAATTGAAAGCCGAAAATTTAGGATCGAAAAATTGTATGACAACTGGAAATAAATTTCGTAAATCGTTAAATACGAAATGGATAAACTTTAAAAACAACGCGATAATTAACAACAATATTCAGGAAAAAATATTGCGAGAACCGAGTTGTTTAGAGGAAACAGAATTTTGTTCAGGACTTGTTGAATTGTCCGAGGAAGAACAAGAATTCTTAAATAAATTTTTAAAAGTTAGATTACCACCCCCCGAGGAAATTTTAAAAGCTACTCATTTGACAGAACACGTTATTGACACGCAGGGTACAGCTCCAATAAAACAGAGATATTATTATGTATCGCCGAAAATTAAAGAGGAAATTATTAAGGAAATTAAGAGAATGTTACGCGAAGGTATTATTGAGCCGAGTAATAGCAATTGGTCGAATCCAATTGTTATGATCAAAAAAGCGAACGGTACATATAGATTATGCCTTGACTTCAGAAAAGTCAATGCAGTGACAAAAAAGGACCTATATCCGGTTCCGTTAATGGCCGAAATTTTAGATATGCTCAGAGCCGCGAAATACATTTCTAAAGTCGATTTGAAGTGGGCGTATAATCAAATCCCGTTGAGCGAAGAGTCCAAGGAAAAAACGGCTTTCGTAATTCCTGGTTTTGGAATGTTCCAATACAAGCGAATGCCGTTTGGACTTTGCAATGCTCCCGCAACGTTCCAACGATTAATGGACAAAATTATTACGCCTGACCTCAAACCGAAAGTTTTCTGTTATCTCGACGACATAATTATAGTTTCTCAAACGTTTGACGAACACATGAAATATCTGGAAATAGTATTAGGAAAATTAAAAGAAGCAGGGTTGACAGTTAATTTCGAAAAAAGTGAATTCGGTTGTGCGGAGGTAAAATACCTAGGTTTCGTAGTTAACGAAAGAGGACTGCAAATCGATGACGACAAAGTCAAACCCATTCGAGAATTTCCGACTCCTAAAACTATTAAACAGTTACAACGTTTTATAGGAATGGTTAGCTGGTACCGACGATTTATCCCACATTTCGCTGAAATAATTGAACCGTTACAAAAATTACTACGAAAAAATGTAAAATGGACTTGGACCGAAAATCAGGAAACAGCAAAATTAAAACTGATCGAGTTGTTGACGACAGCTCCGATCTTGAATCCCCCTGATTTTCAACACACTTTCATACTAGAAACTGACGCAAGTGACACGGGTCTAGGCGCAGTTTTGACGCAAGACATTGACGGTAAAAACGTAGTAGTTGCTTACGGAAGTAAAAATTTAAGCGAAACAGAGAGAAAATATTCGACAACAGAAAAGGAGTGTCTCGCGGTGAAAACGTTTATAGGAAAATTTCGACAATATTTAGAAGGTAGTCATTTTAAAGTAATAACTGATCACATTGCTTTAAAATGGCTACACAATTTGAAAAATCCTACAGGACGCTTGGCGAGATGGGCGTTGGAACTATCGGAACATGATTTCGAAATAATATATCGAAAAGGTTCAGCGAACGTAGTTCCAGATGCGTTGTCGAGAGTTTTCGAAGAAAAACAAGAAAATCCTGAGATACTAAAAATCGAATTAAGCGAAAGTCAAACTGAAAATACGTGGTACGAAACGAAAATGAGAATAATAAAATCAAAACCTCACGAACATGAAAACTGGCGAATTCGAGATAATCAATTATATTTTTATAGACCCGATCCGTTAAAATCTCCCCTCCTTAAAGATGAAAATCCGTGGAAATTAGTTATTCCGGAAAATTTGCGAAAACAAGTCTTAACAGAAAATCACGATAATGTACAGGCAGGACACTTAGGTGTAGAAAAAACTTTTCATAGAATTTGCGAAAATTTTTTCTGGCCAGGAATGTACACTGATATCGTGAAATATATAAGAAAATGTAAAATTTGTCAACAAACAAAAGCGAATAATAAACCGAAAATAGGACCAATGGGAAAAAGAATAGTTGAGGAGCCATGGACGATGGTTGCCTCAGACATTATAGGCCCGTTACCTCTTTCGAAAAATCGCAATAAATACATTTTAGTTTTCACCGATTTATTCACGAAATGGGTAGAAATTATACCAATCAAGAAAGCGGATGGAAAAACTATCGAGACCGAATTTCACAAGAAAATTATTTCGAGATGGGGAACTCCCAGAATTTTAATTTCGGATAATGGCACCGAATATGCCAACAAAGTTATCAGGGAAATGTCGGAAAAATTCGGAATCAGGCATTCGTTTACTCCTAAGTACTACCCACAAGCGAACCCCACCGAAAGAACGAACAGATCAATCAAAACGGCCATAAAAGCTTACCTAGACAAAGAGCAAAATCTTTGGGATAAAGATATCGAAGATTTGCAATTTGCTCTAAATACAGCCAAACATTCATCAACAAAATTCACCCCAGCTTTTCTAAACTTAGGTCGTGAACTTCAACCTTTCCAAACACTGAAAAAAGATTTCGAAAATCCAGACGAAATTGAATTTCAGGAAGTTGACAAATGGACAGAAAGACTAAGACGATTACAAATTATTAAGGACGAAGTTCAACGAAATTTAGATAAAGCGAACGATAACCAAGCGAAATATTACAATTTGCGTAGGAGAAAATTAGAATTCGAAGTAGGAGATCTTGTATGGAAGAAAGACAAATCTCTTTCTAGCAAAGATCTAGGAATTGCGCGAAAATTGAAAAAAGATTTCGAAGGCCCATATAAAATAATTCGAAAAATTTCCCCCACAATGTATGAATTAGGGAAAATTCGTGGAAAATCGATAGGATCGTGGAATATAAACGATTTGCGAAAATTCGTGGAAAATAAAAATTAGAGAAAATGTTCAGCAAAATATAGAAACTTACTCAAAATCAGTAAAAATTCATAGGAAAATTAAATAGAAACATAAGAAAATTAGTTTAAAATTAGAAAAATATTACACGAAAATCGAAGGAAAATTGTAGGAAAATAAGACAAAACAAACAATTATTTTTATTTTTTTTTACATTAACGAATGTGAACTAAAAATGAAAATTCATCTTTGCAGAAAATGAACCGAATCCACTTGAACACAGAAGGAACAAAAAAAACTACGCTAGAAGGAATTACCACAGAGATAAATAAAATGCAAGAGAAAATTAACAAAATTACAACAAAAATGAACAAATACAAGAACAAATATAACGAGCTGGAGGATAAACGACAAGAATTAAAAAATCAAATTAATAGATTAAACATTTGGAAAATAAATATAAATAAACCTCTAAACAACAACAGCAGCGAAGAAGAATCGAGTTCAGAACCGGAGACGGTAGTAGAAAATATAACCAACCAAGAAAGCCACAAGGAGAAAATCGACTACGAAATAAGGGAGGAGGAAACAAAGGAAGAAGATAACATGGAGATGATCGACTTCAGCAAACACGAATACTCAAAAGAAAAGGAAAAAGAAGTATTCCTCGGCAAGCTTCGCTGGCGCTGCGACCGCCGTAAAAAATTAGAGGAAAATGTAGAAGAGAGGAGGCTACAGGAAGAAGAATGGACGAGATTAAGAGAAGATAACAAGATAGAAATCGAAAACTATTTGAAATCTCAACAACAAAAATAATAAGGAAGATAATATCACACGAATTTAATTTTTCTTTATCATACTTTTTCTTTTCTCTTCGTATTTCTAATAAAAATAATAATGATCTCAAAGTTCGTTACCAAAACAACAATTCAATTTTGTTCTCCACAATCAAAAAATTTCTGTTCTCTCGTATACACCTTCACAAACTTTTTGTTCTCTTTTGCTTCCACATAAAATGCGCTTTTATTTTTCTTACTTAAACAACATACGAGATAATCATTAGAGATCAACAATGTAAAACTATTGTACCTACAAAGAAATAAAATAAAACAATATACAAAATAACAAGACAATCACAAATTTTTGAAAATTAATTAAAAAAAAAAAAAAAAAAAAAAAATAAGAATAACACGAATAAAAATTTTTTTTTTTCATTTCTTCTAACAAATCTTTATTTTTAATTTTTTTTCTCTCAGTACAAATAAAAGGAAGATTCTTTTTTTTGTGGATTGTTACAGGAAATAATGGAAAATAAGGAGATTTGGCCATGCCGATTTTGCAGGAAAAACATAAGAAAATCACATTATCTACTTCACGACGAGTTTTGCCAAAAAAGGAACCTAAAGGCAAGAGCAGGTTACTGTGAGCCATCAGCCAACGGAAAGAAATATATACGAGCCAACTGGGACAAACGTCGAGAGGAATTGAAGGAATTTTTGGAGAATAGCCTAGTAGAAAATTCAAAAAAATTAGCGGAAAACAATAGTAAAGAAATAGTTGAATTTATAAACTTCGATACAAATTATGAAGAATTATTAGAAAATTAGCCGAAAATTTTTTTTGTCTGTAAGGGGTTACACTTCGTCCCGTTTAGGGGTAGGGGGGTGTAACGTGACGTTACAAATTCTCCCGCGTCTGCCGTGAATGAGGCGATTGAACCCGGAAACGGCCGAAGGGCCTCGAGGGTGTCAATCGCCGAATTCGCGGACAGACGCGACACTTGTTGTTAGACCACGACACTTATCTCGTCATTTCCCTCAATTATATATCTCGCTCGTGATTCCGTGTGTGATTTTCCTTCGCTGTAAGTTCGACTGCCGTCCAGTGTTTTGGATTATCGACATTCGTAAGTTCAATAAATATTTTTAATAATATTAACTCTATTTATTTACAATTCTCCCTTCCTTCACACCTTTTCCTTCACAACATAATTGGAGATCCGGGCAACCAATTATAACGGAAAACAATAGTGGAAAGTTGCTAACGATGTCACACCAACCGCTGCACCGAGTGCGCTGGTATTCTACGCTTTAATCGTCGACATAGCCAAATCCACTTCCGTCTCAAACTGCATCTTCCGCTTCGCCCTCTCAGTCTCTCTTTTGCATATATAGATTTGCTATACGACCCTATACTGACATGCTAATTATAAACAAATAACGACAAACAAACAGAAAATTTTTCCTCTCCTTTTAAACGTACCTGACTGTAAAATTTTACTTTCTGAAAACTCTAATTTTAAACTAATTAAAATATGACAGTGTTTCTTTGTGTTTCCCAGGTTATGTGGGGAATGACCTCTTTTGTTCTGCTGGAACCATTATAAACCACATTCGTTGGATTTAGTGTTCTTCTTTTACACAGTTTTCTTGAAAGTATCAAATTGATACTAAAGTGTGTGTCAATGTGGTACCAAAATTGTGAGTCAAATAAAAAATTAATCTAAATTTTGGTATCAAATTCATATACTTCAGAAATTAATTTAATACTTTCTTGTTTTCCTCGCACAAACTATGAAATTACCACGAATTTTAATAAAAAACATTCTAATTTTTCTATTTCTGACAATAATTTCTTTTTAAATAACTTCATTTTTGAAGAACTATCATAAAATTATTACTTAGACATTATTTAATGAATAATTTTACTTAAAGATTTAACAATTAATTGAATTTTAAATGATTGCAGAAATTCAATTATTTTTAAAAGCAATAAAATTTATACGCAAAAATTCAATTATAAAATTGTTAAAAGATTAAGTTAAAAAATTTAAAAAGATTCTCGTCAATATTTCAATTATCTTTAAAAATAATAAAATTCTTGGTAAAAATTCAATTATTTTCAAAAGTAATAAAATTGTACACAAAAATTCAATTAAGTTCAAAAGTAATAAAATTCTTCGCAAAAATTCAATTATGTTCAAAAATTGTAATCAATTATTAACTTTTATTATTATTAATTTTATTAATTATTTACAAATTTTTTATGGAACAAAAAAAATTTTAGTCAAAATTTCAATTATCATTGTAAATAATAAAATTCTTTTTTGAAATTCAATGATTTTCAATATCTACTATTTTAATAAAGTTTTTCAAAAGAATTCAATTATTTACAAATTTTTAAATAAATTTCTTCAGTAATTCAATTGTTTTCTAAAGTTTTAATAAAATTTTTGGTATAATTTCAATTATTTTCAAAAATTGACTTCAATTTAATGATTTTCAATATCTACTATGTTAATAAAATTTTCCAAATGAATTCAATTGTGTAAAAATTTTTTTTCTAAAATTCTACTCCAACATTTAATTATTTTTATAAGTAATACAAATTTTACAAGTATTCAATTATTTTCATAAATAATAAAAATTTAACAGGAATATTCAATTATATGCAATTTTTTTTATAAATTTCTTCTAAATAATTCAATTCATTTTATAAATAATAAAATTCATCGTAGAATTCAAATTATTTTTATTTTAATACAATTTAAAATATCGAATTCCTAGAAAAATGTAATTATTCTTAAAAATTTTATTAAAATTCGTATAAAGAAATTAAATATTTGAAAATTTATTGATAAAATTTTTTATGAGAATTCAATTTTAAGAACCATGCAATTATTCAATAAATTTTTTAATTTTTGTATTTAAATAATTGAATTCTCGTAGAATTTTCTAATAGAAATTGATTTAATAATTAATTCCAATTAAAAGTTAAGATAATAATTGAATATTAAAATTATAACATGAATTTTAAAAAATAATCGATTTTTGAATATTTTTGAAAATAATTACATTTTTCGAACAATTTACTTAAAATTCTTTTAAAAATAATTGAAATTCTGTGAAGAATTTTATTATTTAGAAAAATAATTGAATTTTTGTAATGAAGTTTTATTAAATTATTTTTAAATAATTGAAGTTCTGTGAAAAATTATATTATTTATGTAAATAGTTGAATTCTTACAAATAATTTTTATTAATTAATTTAAATTCTGTAAAGAATTGTATTATTTATGAAAAAAATTGAATTCTTGCAAGGAATTTATTCCATTTTTTTAAATAATTGAATTTTTTTTAGAAATTTTATTAAAATTGTAGATTTTAAAAATATTTTAATTTCAGCAAAGAATTTCATTATTTGTGAAATGTAATTGAATTCTTGCAAACATTTTTCGAAAATAATTAAATTTTTTGAAGAATTTATTTAAAAATTGTATTAAAAATAATTGAAATCCGATATAAAATTTTTTTTATTATTTATGAAAATAATAAAATAATAAATAATAATATTAAATATTAATAATATTAATTAATATTTAATATCAAAATATAAATCTTGCAAAATTTCCACGGAATCTCCACGGAAATTCCATGTAATTTTTCGTAATTAATTTGGTATTTTATTACTTTAAAATAATTTTCTAGAGTGACGACACGGACGCCTTAAGACCCTTAGTAAGCCTTAAGAAACATGAGTACACCTACTGAGATGACGTTACTAACTCCTTATAAATATGGAAGCTGATTTATGAATTGCGTAGATATAAGTGGCTTTTCTGTCCAAGCTGTCTTAAGCATAATGTCCTTAAGTAGCATCTTAAGATAGGGTTCTCCTTCTTGAATAACTTCCAAAAGTAGCTTTATTTACTGAAACTAAATATTCTCATTAAATATTCCAACTTTACATCATAACATTTTTGTTATACGCCATAACATTTATTCTTCATCTTAAAATTGAAAATTATCAAGGATCGCATTATTATCCAAGACTAGAATTATTTTAACAAAATCAGTATAATTTTTAAACTCATGATTTTCTTTAGGCTGTAAAACCAGACGTAGAGAGTAACAGGTGACATGCCCATTAAATTTAAGTATAAGATGCGTTGACGTTGAAAATTTTTTTGTCATAAATTCCTATCATGACTTTATACTAAAACAACAGATTGAAATTAGACCAGAAATGAATTTTCAATGTGTCCACTGATTTTTTAATTAAAATTCAGATTTTTGTGATTAATTTTTGAAATACTCTTCTCGTTTTTTTAAAGGGTCCATCGTGAGAAAGTCTCGTGCAATTAATGTTGGGAAAAGTTTGCCAGTAAAAAGGACGTTTTCCTAGAAAGTAATATGTAAGAGGAAATAAGCTTTTCTCGTATATTTTAGGATATCTGATGCCCCTGTCTCTTCCCTCAAGAGACGCTGAAAACTTAACTCGCTACCTAAATTCTGTTTTGGTGCCTTTATATGCGAAAGCCCTCTTTGCCCTGCGATATTTATACCAGTTTTCCCTTAATTGCCATCTAAACGGAGTTACACCGTAATTATCAAACGGGCGATATCACCTCGCAAAACTCCTCGCTTTTCTCGAAAGAAGCGTTCTAAGAGACGTTTTACAAGAAGCGAGAAAAAGAAAATACACTTTCAACTTTGAATCAATGTTTTAACAAAGTCGAGGTAACTGGATTCATTCTTGTCTGTCTCGCAAATAAGATTAAGTCGACAAGAACTCTCGAAAAGATTATAAAAAAAGAATTATCTTCTTCAAGTGAAACTGATAGCGCAAAGTTCTAAATCTTTATAAAACATCTCCAAAGTCTAAAGTTAATTACTAATTTTAAGAAATATTTTATGCGGAAATAAAGAAAGATAAGTGGGGAAAAATTTAAGAGAGGATGCTAGAAAGTAGAAAACTATAACACTCTTCGAATTCCAATAAAAATAAGCTGTTACAAACACGTGTCCTTTTCGATTAGCATAATGGCCAGAGTTTTACTAGTTGGCTCGAAAAATGTTAATATCTTATCCAGTCGCATGCAACAAAAACGCAGGTGTGGCGCACATGTCCTTAAAAGCTTTGACAAAACTCTTTTTCTACAATTTAATTTTATTTCGTTCGGGGTACAAATGGACTGCTATAAACGTTTACCTAGAAAACTTGATTTTTTCAGAAATAAAGGTAAACTATAAATAAACATTATTCCGTAAAAATAATTATTACTGT